CTGGAGGAGCACAGCAGGCCAGGCAGCAACAGAGGAGCAGGAAAGTTTCCGAAGAAGGGTCCCGACCCAAAACGTCAACTTTCCTGCTCCTCTGATGCTGCCTGGCCTGCTGTGTTCCTCCAGCTCCACACCGTGTTATCTTAAGACCAAGGTAGGTATGGAGTGGGGGCATGGACTGGCAGGCAGCCAGTCCAGAGTAGAGAAGATCCAAATATAGGAGAAGAATCCAAAAGGATCTTCTAAATCATTTCCACAGAATAGATTATTTCTGTTGTCAACAGATGAGCCATAGTCAGGACTGTGTTTAAAATAGCTGGTATGTTCCATGTGTGCTTATGGCTTATGTGACTTGGGCTTATGTTCCTCTGTAAAAGGTAATCTTCCCATGCCTGAATCAGGCAATTAAAACTTGTTTGAGGTAGGACTGTGAAACAAGTGTTTCCCTGATTTGACTCCTTTTTGCACATTTACAACCAGGCTTAGGTGTTATAATTGACCCTCATATCGTTGATTATGCCTCTGTGGATTGCCTTGGGATGTTTTCCAATGTTATAGGTGCAATAAAGATGCAAGTTCTTGTTACTATGTGACTTGCAGCAAGCAGAGTGAACATAAAGGCAATTCCTTTGAGAATTTTAAAAAAGCACGCTGAAAGTTAATAGTGGAAACAGAGTAGATCTTGAGGGAATTGAGAAATAAAAGTAGGTTCAGCAACACTTACAGCATTCCTGTACACACTCACCTTATAGCAGGACTGCATTTGCTGGCCCAAGATTGATTATTGGGTGTGTCAGATGAAAGCAATCTTCAGTAGTTCTACTTTTCAAAGAAGGTCAAGGTGCTCTGCTATTTCTTATTTATTCACAGATTTAAATGTGTGCCTCTGCATTGGGTTTCTAATCACATGACTTTTTTATACACATTTTCTTCTTCCCTTACTCACCTTCACAGAGGCTATTGTTGAGAATCTATTTTGAGTATAAAATAATTCATAAAAATTGCGACATACTCGCAGACATGTGAAGTGGGTGCATCCTTTGAGTTACGAGCAGCGAGCAATGTTTCACGCATTCTCAATTAAACAAATTTTGGCTCAAAGGAGAATGTTGTACTGGGGACCGATGCTTGTCTTGCTTGTGATACCAGTGGCATCAGAATGTTGCGATAGCTTTGTGCTTTTGGTTCACATTGCAGGGATTGAAAAACTGGTCTTTTCTTTGCATCCTCTTTTATTCCTACCATGTATTATATAGTGGCTTTGCTTTTATAAGTCACAAAAAGAACAATAAAAGACAAAAAAAATCTGCGCAAGTAAGGTTGTGACATTAAAGATTTTATGCTTTAATAAGCTACTGGTGTCAAAAATACATTACCTCATTAGGTTAAAATTTCCCATACAGAATAAAGTATTAAGAACCAAGCCATACAGATATTAAATATTTGTAATAAAAACTATGGCTGTTAATATTAGAACTGAAACACTGACATAGTATTTTAGCAACATGCTTGCATTGTCTGTTTAATGTTGAGACTGCATTAAGCTTATAAAAACCCAAAAAGTTTGCCTGCAACCCTAACCCTTCAAATGCATTAACATTTTTGAGCCAAAAAGAATGATGGTTCTTCAACTTCAAATTCATTGTACCACGACACTTTCCTTTGATTTTAATTCCTTTAAATATTTCATTCAAATTAAAACAAAAACCAGTGTTCAAAACTTGTGGCATTTGAAGGGTTCCCAGCAATGGAAAAATAGCTTTATCATTGAAGATTATATGTATTGAGGTCAAACCTTCCCAGTCTGTTCTAAGTGTGGCCCTGTTGAAAATGCAATGGGGATGAAGTATCAGGATATAATGTTACCCTCTGTAGAATGCCCTTATAAAGGGAAATGTGAGCTTAATGAATGAATCAAAAAATTTAAAATATGAGGCTCTATTGTTTTCCAATGATAGCAAGAATTGACCATTTTAAGCCGAAATTTGAGTTTTTCTGGAAATATTTTGCACTTTTTAATAAGTAAAATTTAAAATACTTCCTTGCAAAGGCCTCATTTATCGTACATACTGCATAAAGGTTTGACTTAAGTTCAGCAGGGTCTCACAAAGATGCATGACAGATCGACAGAATAAAAGAACTGTGTTATACCTGACCAAAGAAAAAATACAACTAAATATACTTTAAATCTTTTACATTTGTGTTTTGATGTATTCTCTTACTGTGCATTGGATATGTAAAATATTCCAGCTTTTTTTTAATAAAACATTAATACTAAATTATTGGCAGCTTGCCTTTTTCAAGATGCCCCTAGGTTACCACTGACCAGAATATCAATTGAATGCAAATCCAGCACTAAGTAATAAAATGACGCTTTAAATTGATTATATGAATACAAGTAGAAATCCATTCTCTTTCTGCTACTTGAAGTACCAGCACAAGATTAACATCAAAAATCTATAAGTCTTTAAAAGCTTAATATTTAGTAAATGAACAACCAAAAAAAAAGCTTATTGAAGCTACAATGTGCAACTGAACAAAAAGTCCACATACAATAAATCTGCTTTCTAATATAAATTTTTAGCCATTAGTATTTTAATTCACTGAGCATCTGTAGGAAAAAATAATGGAACATTTTAATTGTCTTAAAAAAATTAAGTGCATTTCTTTCAACACAAGAAAATAGCTGCTTTTTAATTGAAAGAAGAGCAAGTAGAGAATTAGAAAAGAACAACATAATGCTACAGGAGAAAAAGAACGGAGAACTTGTTTTGAGAATGAGTGATGTTTTGGATTTGAGAATGACTAGGAGTAATCTATGTGAAGTTATAATGACAAGAATAACAGAACATAGTTTAATTTACGAAAAGTTATTAGCAAAGATGTGGACATGTTGAACAAATAAGTGATTCTTTAAACTACATGTCAATAATAGACTACTTGCAAAATATATCTTTAGAAACTGAAGCAGTTATCACAGTTCAGGCTAGTGGTTTAATGCAGAACCATTTAAGTTGCTTGGTCAAGCGCTGTCAGCAATTCACGTCCGTGCAGAAGTGTTGAGTTCCCTACTACAGGGGCGTTGACTTCACAGTCATATCTTGTCAACTCAGGCAAGGAATAAGCAAGGAACGATGAACCCAAAAGACGGCTTGCCATTCCTGTTGTGATAAACGTGGACAAAGAAACATTCGTATTACGATTTAAAATACTTTGTACCAAGCATTACATTAGGAAGTATTGACTTTGCTATTCAGAATATTGCGTACATTGTTGTTTGTGCAATCCCGAAAAATGTAAGTGAAAGGTGAAAGACAAACGTACTTATGATAAATATTTTTAACAGGTGAAGAGAAAATAAATACAATGGGATAGAAATTAGGATGCACTAGAGGACAAAAGATCATTCTGCAGCTTGCTGTGACATAGTTCACCTGTAAGTTAGCCAACTATTTCAAAAAGCTTAACTTTTCAATTTTGACCTTTCTGAGTGTTGCCAGAATTTGCAATGGATTACTGTTGAATCAACCTCTGAACTGAATAGACTTTTAAATGTGCTGAATTGGTTACTTGCAGCTTGTGGGCACCCTATCTTGCCTCTGGCAAAATGGCCCAGGGCAGGATGATGCCAGGAACAAAGCACACCAACCGGCAGCATATTATTCCATGCTCACCCGCTTCCATGCTTCCCCCATTGAGGTCTAAACATTCATCCCTTTGAATTTGTGCATTCATGTAAAATGAGTGACAGTGGGCAGAATCCTCAGCTCTCACTGATGGTGAGCTTTGAGACAGCAAAAGCACTTAATTAGTTGGGGTGCCATTGTGCTTGAAATCCTCCATGCTATTCCACCCCCTCTCCACCTCCACTGGACATAAGTTCTGGCCAGGAAGGCACATGGTCAACCTGCCCTCCCCACTGCCAATTGAGGTCTTTAAGCCATTTAATGAACTTTTAAGGGCCTCATTTTGCTACTAATGGGACTAAGCCAGCTGCAGACAAGCCTGTAGGGACTGGATAATGGAAAGGGTGGGGGTGGGGGAGGGTCTGTTGAGGGTCACGTTGCCTGACCCTACTACTGACGCCTCCCAGCTCCCTCTCCCCATGACCCCACATTCCATATCTGAGACCTGGGTCACATGGCAATCCTGAAACTGTTTTGCCCACTGGCCACCATCTGTTTGGTGTTGATAGATGAGACTTCCACTCCCAGAGTCTTGAATCCAGGTGAAGGCAAGGTGGTGGCCTCAGTACTGCCTGATTGGCTTGTAGTTCAGCAGGCCTTCCCCAAAAAAATGGCGCAGCACAGATCTCTCCATGGCTCTCAACCCTGACATCTCACTAAGGTTCCACTCAGTGAGTTGGCATGTCATTTTACATCTCTCATAATTTCTATTTCCTTTGTGGCTAATGCATTCAGTATCACCCTGTTTAACATTATTGCATCAGGTCAAAATCTAATATTGATTTTAATATTGATCTTATTGTTATTATTTTCTGTGTGGATCTCAGTAGCCAGTTCAATTGGCTACTTCCATCATTTTAAAGGGTGATAGTTGCTGGAGTAAGAGTCGCCAACAAGTATGAACTTGAGTTGTAAACCAAATCAACAAACACAATATGTACAGGGCAATGCATGATATATAAATATATAGATACACAAATATGTATATAACAATATATGGATTTGCATTTTGTACTTGAATTTCTGCTTAGTAAATGCAACTGTGGATGAATTATGTTTAGTAAATCAGGAAATAAATAATTCAAGGAGATACAAATGAAAAGGAATTGAGTACAGGAAAGGATGTAGGCAGGTCTGGAACACTCCATTCTTACCTGTAAGTGACCCTGAACTCCAGGACTTTTTCTGTGTTAATGAGGAATTGTTTTCAGATTTAATGCTCTTCATTCTCTTCCACAGCATCTGTGAAGTGTGACTCCTTGGTGAATCTTCACACAGAGAGTCCTTAAAGAGAATTAGAATGTCAGTTCATATGAATCCATTTAATTACATAGTACAGACAAAACTATACGAGTTCCAGTCTTTTGGAAATCCTGGTATACTACATCGACTCATTAAACATTATCTACCACGCTAGATACATGTTCAAAAAGCTCCAATGAGTTTGTCAAACATGACCCCCTTTCATAAAACTATGTGATTCTGTCTGATGATACTGTGATTCAATCAACACATTTCAGTTCAATCTGGATAAATGTGAGGTATTGCATTTTGGTACAACAAACAAAAGTAGGACTTACACAATTAATTGTAGGGCCTTGGGTAGTGTTGTAGAACAGAGGGACCCGGGGTACAGGTACACAATTCTATGAAGTTTGTGTCACCTATAGGCAGGGTGGTTAAAAAGGCATTTGGCACGCTTGCCTTCATTGCACAGCCCTTTGAGTATAGGAGTCGGGAAGTCATGTCGAGGTTGTACAGGACATTGGTGAGGCTTATTCTGGAATACTGTGCCCAGTTCTGGTCTCCTTGTTATAGGAAGAGTATTATTAAGCTGGAGAGGGTTCAGAAGGTATTCACCAGGATGTTGCCTGGTATGAAATGTTTGAGTTATAAAGAAAGGCTGGATAGGCTGCAACTTTTTTACTGGAGTGTAGGAGGTTGAGAGGCGACCTTATAGAGGGTTATAAAATCATGAAGGGCATAATATTAGTTGTCTTTTCCCTAGGATGGTTAATTTCAAGACTAGGGGGCACATGTTTAAGGTAAGAGGAGAGAGATTTTAAAAAAACATGGGGGCATGTCTTGTATGTAAAACAGCATTTGGCACGCTTGCCTTCATTGCACAGCCCTTTGATTATAGGAGTAATTGTAGTCACAGTCAGTCAGTGTGGCATCTTATAAATTCCTGCTTTCAGATTAAAACCAGCCTGATTCCAGGTTAAAACTCTGAGACAGATTCTGAACATGGCCTCACACCTACAAGTCAGTGTCTGACCTGAGATGTCACCTTTAGTATATTCCTACTGCTCTGCCTGATTGTCCTAACAGCACAGCACTGACATTGACTTTATAAACACTTTACTCACCGTCTAACACTTTTGGTCACCTGCAGAGACTTATTATCTGACACTCCACTCACACCAGTTGTATGATCTTTTGATCTCTCTGCCCTTGATCTCTTTCTGCATATAAACTCTGTGTCTGTGGGCTGTGCTCTCTCACTGCACCTAACAAAGCGACTGCGCTCTGAAAGCTTGTGGGATTTCAAATACAGTAAACCTGTTGGACTATAACCTGGTGTTGTGTGAATTCTGACTTTGTACACCCCAGTCAAACACCGACATCTCCATATCAGGAATTTCTCAATAATAGATCACAACATTTTTGCAATGGCTAATATTAGACTAACTGGCCTGTAGTTCTCAGTTTTCTCTCTCCTTCCTTTCTTGAATAGCAGTGTTACATTTACTGACTTCCAATTTGGTGAGGCCATTTTAGAATCCAGAGAATTTTCAAAAATCAGAAGTGCATCAACTATCTCAGCAGCTACCTCAACCCAAGGATGTAAGAGATCCAGTCCTAAAGATGTGTCGGTTTTTAGTCCCTAAAGTTTCACTAATACTTTCTCTCTGCTCAAATTAATTACTTTAATTTCTTCACTTCTATTATTCCTTAGATTACCTTTGATTTCTGCTTTGTAACTTGTGTCTTCTGTAAAGACAAGCTGAAGATACATTTGTTCAACATGTCTCCAATTTCTTCATTTCCCATGGTAACTTGTCTTTTGTTTTATATTCCTGGCCAGTTTAACTCACCTATTTCCTACCTTTTAATCAAATTTTTGATCCCTCTTTGCTGGTTTTTAAAATTCTTCCAATCCTCATACTTCATACTGCTACAGCTAAAGCAAAGTGTAGTATGACTTAAATTGTTTCTGGCTTTCTCCTTTTTAAAACATATTATACCAGACTATTAAATGCAAGCTTGCTTGACTACAATAGAAATTGCGTAAAAAAAATAACAAATGGAGTCCACATGAATCTTCCACCTTTAAACATTACATTGGATTCCATTTTTGGAACTTACTTCAATGCAAGTGAGTTAACTTAAACCTGATTCACGGATGCATTCTTAAACTTTGCATGACTATGTTAATTTTAGTTTATTGCTTTGTATTAAATGGCTGTGTATTTTGATAAGCTGGCATTTTATAAAATAAATGGAACTGGTATTACAGCCATTGAAAATAATTTGAGTATTTTAGTCTTTTCAAATTGAGTTTACTCTTTGAGGTTTTTAAAAATCATACCATGGGCTCTTATCAAAGTATTGTGCCACCAAGTGTCACATTTTGTCACTGGCACATCATTGTTCATTGAATTTAAATATGAAAATAAAATTAACATTTGAAAATGCCCACTCCTAATTATTTGCAAATGGACTTACTGCTGATAGTTGGAATATCTGCTCTCCAAAGTCCAGCTGCAGTTTGCGTTTTAGGTTGTTTCTGAACATCATTTCATTGGTAATGTCTTTCCCATGTTGTCCAAAGTTGTCCAGAGACCTAATACCAAGCAGTAATATGGTGTGAAACATTTTACTTAAATTGTCCCCTCGCTTCCTCTATTTTGAAGACATTGGCATTGAAATTGGCCTTCACCAGTAGTGCAAGATGGCCTCACAACAAATTGGCAGACCAATTTTCATTTCCACTGGCATTTGGCAAAGGCTTATTTCACCTGTATTCATTCCTTGGTAGGGTGTGGCTCATTGGTTGTTGATCACTCATGGGATGCACTGCTAAAGAGATCATTCTTCATTTGAAACCCTGGAGAGTGAATGCTAACAAAATAGATGACTATGGGAGGTGTTGCATCAAAACTTGTAATTATTTGAATTCAGTCTGAGCATCGGGAGCAGGAGGCATTAGTAACTGGCAATCAGGAGAGGGAATCTTGGCCAGTTCTCTTCCCTAGACAACAGTGAGACACCCACCACTAGCTCAGCTAAAACCAATAAATCAGCACAGACCACAGGCTGATCTGGGACTTTGTGAGTTTAGCCAGTCACTGGTTTAAGCAGCAGAAGCTTCTGTGATTCACACGCCTCAACTGAAGTTTTCTGTTAAAAAAAACAGAGAATGCTGGAGAAACTCTGGTCTGGCAGCATATTTGAAGACAGAAACAGAGTTATGGTTTCGAGTCAGGTATGACTCCTCTTCAGAACTTTAGGTCTGTTGAAGTTCTGGAGAAGAGTCATTCCAGACTCAAAAACATCATCGCTGTTTCTCTCTCCACAGATGCTGCCAGACCTGCTGAGTTTCTTAAGCATTCTCTGAACTTGTTTCAGATTTCCAGCATCAGGCTTTTACTGAAGCTTTCTTTACACTGCCGGCCAAACAGGCAACCCACTTCCATTGTCCTAACACCCTCGCTCTCTCCTAATGCTGCTACAGTGACCACAGCACAGTGTATGAAGTAGAATTAAGGTTCTCTCTTCCTGTTCTCCCTCCGCTGTTATAAGGAAGTACTCAAGTACCTCAGGACGGAAAGAAACAGAATGTGAACTCAGCCAAACCACGCTTACACATGCTGTATCATTGTGTTTAATATTGATTGCTTCATGCTTTCATACACCTTGTTGTTGAAAATTGGATTAAAGTGTAAATAGCTTACACTTGAATATTGCTCAGAAGAAACTTACTCCCCAAACGTTTAGTCTTGTATTCATCAGGACAGATGCAAGAATGCCAGATTTCAAAGGCAGTACTGTATGAGATAAAAGTACTGTATGGTTGACAAATCAACTATGATTGGTTGGGATGTTGTAATGGAGAATGAAGCAAGGAGTGATGCCCCCGCTACCCACCATCACCCTCATGTTTTTGTTTTAGGTCTCAGTAACAGTAGACTCGAAGCCTTTAAAGCTTTAGAGAGCGTTAATGGGTCTGTGCTGGGCCATCTGAGGGCTGTTGGCCATCTGTCCTGCCAGCAGCTGTCTGGTCCCAGCAGCGCCACCAGCAGCAGTGGCCACTGTGGGGACTACATTTTGGCCCAGTTAAGAAGAACCTGCTTTCAGGGTGACTAGAAGGCATGCAGCAGCATCCTGCAGGGAATGTGGAAGCAAGCACGGGGGGAAACTGGATGGAATGTTCAGGCTATAACAGGGGGCACCTACTTGAGAGTCAAGGGTTGGGGCCCTTGTTTACAAACAGAAAAGACCCGTGAAGGACCTCCACAAAAGAAGGGACAAGTTGGCCATCCTTATTTACCTGTGACCTCTAAAATGGCAGCATGGTAATGGCATGAGTTGGAGGTGGGAATGCTACTGGCAAAATTTTACCAGCTTGTAAACCCATCTGCTGTGGACCTTACAATTCTACTCCACGTTTTACACATTTCTGTTACTAATTCATTCAATACTTATATTTCAGAATGAAATTGTGCATTGAGGTGAAAGGAAACCCAATGGTTGAGACAATATTTTATTTGATGTTATTTCAGGAATGCAATTTATACGAAGGGGCCAGTTAGCTCAGTTGGTTGGAGTATGCTGCTTAATATTGGAGGTGATGTAGCTGTGCTAGCTCTTGGAGGCTGCCTCTTCAACTTGCCACATTATGATGCTAAAGGTAGATGTCAAGGGACTCCAAGCAGCAAGTAGTGATGGTGCAGAAGGGCAGCTGGAGCAGTCGAACAGACACTCACTGGAAAGAAAGAGTGTCTTTAGGTGGAGAGAGGGCTGAAGGAAAGGGATGGTAGACAGACAAAAGAATTTGTCAGCCCAACATAACCCAAATGGCTCTTCCAATATATAGTGTTTCTTGTATTGTTGCATGGGATGTGAATGTCACTGGTAAGGCAGGAATTTGTTGCCCTCCCTAACTGCCCATGAACTGAGTGACTTGTTAGGCCATGTCACAGGGCAGTGAAGAGTCAACTACATTTCCAAGGGTCTAGAGTCACATGTTGGCCAAACCAGATAAGGGTGTCAAATTTCTTTCCCTAAAGAACATTAGATTCTAAAGAGTTTCTTGTTTATCGTTAATATCCCTTGCTATTTGTAATTACCCGATGCCAGTGGAATGATCCTGATTTATGATGCTTGGGTTGCCCACGAGTTCAAATCTCGCAATAAATAGAGATGTGTGGAGATCCACAATTTGCAATTCTTACTAACGACACTGCATGAACAATCAGTCTAGGATGCTGAGTCTTCTATTAAATTTACGCTGTCTCTTAGTGTTTGCGTCAGGGTTCAGTTATTTAAAAAAAAAGGAAGAGGTCAAAGAAAGATAATTTGATTCAGTTGGATGATGAGTTTTTGAAAAAATGTTCGTGTTTTAATTCAGAGTTCCAAGAAGTCTAACTTTAAGATTAGAGCATATGGAGCAAGAAGGAAATGCTAAATAGCCATTGAAATGTTTCATGTTGAAGCCAAATCATACTGTGGCAATATGTGTGTGATTGTTTGAGGTTAGCACTTCAAGGACTGTAGTTTTGAGGGGGTGGAGAAGAAACATTTTTTAAAATTTCTAAGAGTGTATTGCTTCAGAACCAATCGCCAAAACATGCAGGAGTGACTCCATCTTTTAATCTAAATGCATAAAATGCAGTAATATCTATTCCTTGTCTTCTCTTTACCTTTGTTTATACAGTGATGTATGCCCCAGTTGGCCAGGAGGGATACCAGGCAATGATCCTGTCCTCTGATCCATCAATCTCCATTTTCTGAGTGTACAATCAAAAGGCGGATCAGGCGGCCATTGGACATTCAGTCTGCCACCCATCGAGGATGCAGGATTACATACAGGTGCATGGTATGGTGGCAGAGAAACCCCGTTTCCAGTGTTGTATGACAGTGGGTGAAGGTGGCTGGAGTTATTCTTCTTTACTGGCGCCATCTCAGGACAATACTTGTCAAGCATCATCTGCTGATGTGAGGTGACAAAATTTGGAGCAAACGACTGGAACACATTATTCATGTTGTTGGAATAATCTTGCGTTCTTGGCGTGTTCTCGGAAGGGGGCTGCTCATCATGGCAGATTGGGCTCAGCTGGAAGTCTTCCCCATCCATGGGAATGTAGGGAGCCAGAGTTTCAAGGTCCAGATCACTCAATTCCGCCTGGAACAACAAATTAAAGATGGTGAATAGAAGATGGAATATTATGCATAGAACGCTTGCAATACCTAACAGTCTGTTTAGTTTTCCACATTTTACAGGATACAGGCTATTCTACTTTACAGTAAATCAAGTGAAAATGTACTTAGTAAGAGAGCAGTACAACTTTTTTTTTAACTAGGACTGCCATAGTTTGAGAATGAGTTGGGCACCACAATCAAAAAGAGTCGGAGAGAGTTAGAATTGCTTTTAAAAACAATGCCAAGGGAAATACTAATGGTAAACTGAAACTTACTCATCATTTTTCCTCCCCTCAAAGAGCACCCTACTACTGTTTCAATTAGACCCTGAAGTTACTCATGGAAAGCTCCTGAATGGATAAATTGCCTATGAAAGGTAAGATTAAGAGGATGCGCTTTCTTAGCTCAAAACTTTTAACAAATCTAAATGTTAGGCTTTCCTATGATCACCTCTCTTACCACTTATGGACATTTAGAGTCATAAATACCTACAGCACAGAAAAAGGCCCATTGAGTCTGCGAAGCTCAAAAACAGCCACCCAACTATTCTAAACCCGTTTTCAAACACGTAGCTATTAGCCTTGTATGCCTTGCCATCGCAAGTGTACATCTAAGTACTTCTTAACTGTGATGAAGGTATCTGTCCCCACCTAGATTCCCACTACCCCGTGAGTGAAAACATTTTTCCTGACATCCACTCTAAACCTCCTGTCCCTTACTTTAAATTTATGTCCTTGGTCACTAATCTCTCAACCAAGGGAAAAGATTCTTCCCATCTACCCTGTCTATGCCCTTCTAATTTTATACATCTGAACCATGTCCCCCGTTAGTCTCCTCCGCTCTAAGGAAAACAACCCCAGTCTATCCAAACTCTCTTCATAACTCAAGTTCTCCAGCCCATTATCTAATTTTAGAACTGCTATCTTTTTAACTCATTATTTTAACACATATTGCTTAACAATAAATCTACCATTATAGAAACCTAAAAGTACTTAGGTGTATTCAAAGTTAGAGTTGGTTTAATTAAAAGCCTTTGTTTTAATAGATATGTCACCTTATTTCTCTGAAGATTTAAACTGTAAATAGTTAGATCTAAAACTTATTAGAAAAATTTATTGGAATAAGCCAACAAGCTAATTCCCAGCTGATTATTATAGAGTCATGGAATCTTACAGCACGGAGACAGAACCTTCAGTGAAACTTGTCCATGCTGAACAACTTTCCCAAGACTAAGGTCCCGACCAGAAATGTCAGCTTTCCTGCTCTCCTGATGCTGCCTGGCCTGCTGTGTTCCTCCAGCTCCACACTGTGTTATCTCTGACTCCAGCATCTGCAGTTCTTACTATCTCCTGGTCACAGTTATATGCGTTTGGCCCATATCCCTCCAAACCTTTCCTATCCATGTTTCTACCAAATGTTTTTTAAATGTTGTGACTGTACCTGCATCTGCAACTTCCTCTGGCAGCTCATTCCATACACAACCCACCTTCTGTCTGAAAAAGTTTCCCCTCAAGTCTCTCTTAAATATTTCTCCTTTCACTTTAAAAATATGCCCCCTAGTTTTGAACTTACCCACCTTAGGGAAAAGACCTTTGATATTCATCTTATCTATGTCTGTTGTGATTTTATAAGGTTCTATAAGGTCACCTCAATTCCTTCGCTCCAGTGAAAATAGTCCCAGCCTATCCATATAATTCAAACCATCCAGTCCCGACTACATCCTGCTAAATCTTTTCTGAACCTGCTGCAATTTAATATTTTCCATCTATTGCCACCAGAACTGTACAGAGTACTCCAAAAGTGACGACACCAATGTCCTGTACAATGCAAACATGACGACCCAACTCCTATACTCAGTGGTCTGAGTAATGAAGGCAAACATGCTAAATGCCTTCTTAACCATCTGTCTACCTGTGATGCAACTTTCCAAGGACTGTGTCCCTGAACACCAAGGTCTCTCTGTTCAACAACACTACACAGGGCCCTACCATTAATTATATAAGTCCTGCCCTTGTTTGTTTTACCAAAGTGCAATACCTCACATTGATCCAAATTAAATTCCATCTGCCACTCCTTAGCCCATTGGCCCAATTGATCAAGATCCCTTTGCAATCTTAGATAACCCTCTTCACCAATATATCACCAATTTTGTGGAATTTTATAGACATTTAAATAAATAGTCAAAACATGCAAATTAGAAACTGAAATATCATAAACATTTTAAAAAATGAAATCTTGATCAAAATAGAGAAATCTAGCATTACAAATACAGAATTATTTATCCAGGACCACAGAGTTTCTTCAGTTAGGACTTAGCACAAGATCCCCAGCTAATTCGTAAATGAGGTGCACATTTTATTAGAGAGTTCCGACAGTGATCTTACAGCTTAAAAGAGGGAAGTTCTCGTCAGTTCAGTGACAATCTGTGGAGACTTCAACAGTGCACCCAACGTAGAAGAGTAGAACTTCTGTAATCACTGATCATATGCAGGTTACAGTGAGGGAAAGAGAGGGCACAATGTGAAATCTTACCATGAGTGAACTGGTGAGATTAGGTACAGTTCGGGGGTTTAAATGGTCAAAAAAAAGGAAGCCCGTTGGGAAGCTCACTGCAGCCCACTGACTGTCGGGGGAAGGAGGTGGGCAGCTAATCCCTTCCCTGGAGGTGTGCTGGTCTTTGGAAATGTAAATGACACTGGAAACCTCAAAATGAACCTGCTTTGCAGGGCTTAACTGGCCAACCAAGTTGCCCAGACTTTGGGAAAACAGGTAGCTGCAGTGTGTGAAGATATCCATTTCTTGAGGACCAGGAAGAGCATGAGGCCTCCTTCAGGCCCTTCAAGCTCCTGCAGCATTATCCCACGCTTCTCCCTTCCTTCCCCACATCTTCCCTAGAATTGCATGCACCCTGAGACTGGGTGCACCCATGAAGTTAAGCATTATACCTCAAACCATCCCACAGTCCCATTGCCATTATTGAGATCTATTTGGCCCCATACAACCTTCACCAAAACTTTCCCTCTCTGATTGGAAGCCAAGCCTGTTCATCAGGTTGACGTTTGGGTGGAATGCCAAAAGGAACCCACTGTAGAGGTGACAAACTCTGCATTCAGTGGGGAAATACAGGCCTCATGGTTTCCCATGCTCCACCCCCTCTCACTCCCTCCTCAGGCTTCAAGGTGTTAAAAGTCTCCACGCACAGTTGCTTTTTGTTTCAAGATGATCAAAGAACACAAATTTAAGGTGATTGGCAAAGGAGGAATGAACCAGGACCAACTGGATTGCTTTTTAAAAGTGCTGGCACAGACTAGATGGGCTAAATGGCCTCATTCTGAGATACACCATGTTGGGTTTCAAAGGAAAAGTGACAGTGATTGATGCAGTGTTACCAAATTACTGTGGCAAAATTCCAGGTAATGTTCATGACCCGCTGTTCCAGGTTCTGTAGCTTGGAAATACAATGAAAAGTCCCATACATATATATCCCTGTTCCAGTTTATAAATTATATTCCATTGCCTTACAGGTGCATGCTTTATGTGCTACTCCTTCACACTACAAGTGCATTTAGATGTAGAGTGTCTACAGAGATGGTTTTTGCAAATCTTTTGAATGCTACTTTTGTAAACTGGAGCGAACAATGGGCAGAATTGCGGGGAGTATGTTGCACTGGGATCGTTTAATAATCACTGGCATTGTGCTGTTGAAGGGAAATCAGCCTCACAGCAATCTACCTCTGCACAATAAGGATCTTCTAGAAGAAGCAAAGTAACTCAAACTGCAGTGCAACAATGAATTTGACATGATAATATTGAACCATTTCAACTCATCAATGACTGATGAAACAGGATGATGTACCATCCTGCTCATGTCCACGGCTAAACAGCTATGCTGTTCACAGATTTATTATATTTCTATAAGATGTAAACATATATGTTATTGGAAATTAAGCGTGAGTCTAGATCTCTGATCTTCTATTCAAAGTAAAAGTAACCATCATACTTCACAAATTCTGAGGTGACCTTATATATCTCAATCAAATAGATGCTTTTTTAATGTCTCCATCGACCTCTATGATTGGCTGAGAACAACATATTTAGTGGTTATTTTGTGTTTGTTTTGATGAACTAACCTGAGTGCTACATTGTTTTTTTGCTTCAGTGTCCATAGCAAAAAGTTTCTCAATCAGTTCAATCTTGAGATCATTGTCCAAGGAACTGTAGTAGTCTCCGGGGCTACTTGGCTATAATTGCAAAGTAAAGAAACATCTTTAAAATGCATTGTCCTGATGAATAAACTAATTCATCCAATTACTATTGTACATCACTAAATGGCATCAAGCATCACTTACATCTGTCTCACAGGTTTGATTCAAAACCTTTGTTGCATGCAATGAATGAAGGTACTGTTGTTTCTCAGAACTTGGAATCAAAGACAATTATATAAGTAGAAAATGCCCACACTGTGCAATTTTAACTAACTTGGAGATGACTGTAGAAGTAAATACGAAATGCGGATTACATATCGCTCAACCAGCAGTGAAAGAATATTATGATGGCAGACTAAAAATAATATTGCAACAGAAATTCCTTTCAATTTTAAAAGGATTTTATGTTCTGTGATCACAAACACCAAAGAAAACTTAACTTAGATGGTATACACTCAACTAAAGTATAAAATAGTAATGGCTTTATTTAACAAGTATTATTTTAAACATAAATTCTAATGTTATTTTTCAGAATCATCTCACATAAAGTCTTTACAAATGTCCTTTGAAAGCATACACAACAGGAATAAATTTTGGATTGTGTAATGCTGGCAGTGAGCCTTCCTACGGCAGCACTTATCATAAGCTAATGGTCAGAAAATGATAGGCAATGACTAGTATTTAATGGAGAGTCAGCATTAGGCCCATTAGGAAGGCCCAGTGTATGAGCTGTCTCTTAGGCAGTTATACAATCATAGAGTCATAGAGTCCGTCCAACTCATCCATGCTGACCACATACCCTAAATTAATCTAGTCCCATTTGTCAGCATTTGGCCCGTATCCCTCTAAACCCTTCCTATTCACATACCTATCCAGATGCCTTTTAAATGTTGCAATCATACCAGCCTCCACCACATCCTCTAGCAGCTCATTCCATACACGCACCACCGTCTGCGTGAAAAAGTTACCCCTTAGGTCCCTTTTAAATCTTTCCCCTCTCACCTTAAACCTATGCCCTGTAGTTTTAGACTCCCACACCCTTGCCTATTTACCCTACCCATGCCCCTCATGATTTTATAAATCTCTGTAAAGTTACCCCTCAGTCTCCGATGCTCCAGGGAAAAAAAACCCAGTCTATTCAGCCTCTCCTATAACTCAAACCCTCCAACCCTGGCAACAGCCTCATAAATCTGTTCTGAACTGTTTCAAGTTCCACAACATCCTTCCTATAGGAGGGTGACCAAAACTGCACGCAGTATTCCAAAAGTGGCCTAACCAATGTCCTTTACAGCCGCAACATGACCTCCCAACTCCTATACTCAGTGCACTGAACAATAAAAGCAAGCATACCAAATGCCTTCTTCACTATCCTAACTACTTGCGAGTCCACTTTCAAGGAACTGTGAATCTGCGCTCCACGGTCTCTTCGTTCAGCAACAATCGTCAGGTCCTTACCATTAAGTATATAAGTCCTGCCCTGATTTTCCCTACCAAATTGCAGCACCTCACATTTATCTAAATTAAACTCCATCTGCCACTCCTCGGCCCATTGGCCCATCTGATCAAGATTCCATTTTACTCTGAGGTAACCTTTAAACTTGTCTACTACACCTCCAGTTTTGGTGTCATCTGCAAACTTACTAACCATACCTCCTATGTTCACACCCTAATCATTTATATGTGTGACAAAAAGCTATGGACCCAGCACTGATCCTTGTGGCCTCTAGTCTGAAAAGCAACCCTCTGTCTCTTAGCTTGGAGCCAGTTCTGTATCCAAATAGCTAGTTCTCCCTGTATTCCATATAATCTAATTTTGCTAACCAGTCTAACTTGAGGAACCTTGACAAACACCTTACTGAAGTCCATATAGATCACATCCACCACTCTTCCCTCATCAATCCTCTTTCTTACTTCTTCAAAAAACTCAATTAAGTTAGTGAAATGTTAACCGACAGTTACGGGCCTTTCCCAAGAATAAGCATCCTGGAGGTGCAAATAAGACCATAAGACCATGAGATACACGAGGAGAAGTAAGCCATTCAGCCCACCAAGTCTGCTCCACCATTCAATGAGCTCATGGCTAATCTGATAATCCTCAGAGCCACTTTCCTCTTCTTTCCCTATAATTTGGGATTCCTTTGTTGATTAAAATCTGTCTGTCTCAGCCTTGAATATACTTAATAATCCAGTCTTGACAGACTATGGTAAAGATTCTGTCTGAAAGAAGACATTCTTCCTCATCTGTGTATTAAATGGATGATCCATTATTCAGGGATTATGCCCTCAGGTCCTAGATCCTCCGATAAGAAGAAACAACTTCTCCACATTGGCCCTGTCAAACCCCCCCCCCCCCCCCGAGAATCCTGTACATTTCAATAATTTCTTCTAAGCTCCAATGAGTAGAGGCGCAACCCTACTTAACCTCTTACCAACAGTATGGCACTTGTTTAGCCTCTGGACTGGGGATTTAATCCCAAACCTGCCAAACAGAGAAAGCTAATATTGAGCCAAAGTTGCATAAAAAGTGCACATAAAAAGTGCACAAAAAGTCCCACCCACAGAGAGATGCCAGCCAATCGGAAGTTGCCAAATTGGGCTCTGCTCAGTGGAGCACTGACTTCTGCCAGCAATGCACCCACCCAAGGCCTTGTATTGCTGAGGCACCAAGTCACAGAGGAGAGCAGGTGGGAGGAAAGTCATGGGGTGGAAGTCATGGAGAGTAGGGGAACTGGCAGCAAAGCTGGGGAGGATTAGGATGTCCCCAGGGTCCATCGGTTCTTCAACCCAAGAGCCCCGATACAACCCCCAGTAACATACGTTTTCAATATTCCAGCATGACGAGTCTCCTGTAGTGATGGTATCAGAGCTTTAGTTGGGCATTAATTGCCTCCTTAAGGGCTTCTGATTGGCAGTGGGACA